CTGTTTATCCTCTTTTTTTCAAAGCCACATATTCCAGTGAGTCTGGGTAATTGCAGTGAGTCCACCATTTTGACACTAGTTTTGTGAATGATTTCGTTAGATGGATCAGCACAATATTGGTTCCAATGAGGTAATGAGGTAATAGTTAAAGATGTCTCAAATGTTCAACTTTCCCAAATTGCTATACGACTCCATCATCTCTAACATCTGACATCAACAACTCCTTCCTTTTTCCTTCCTTGTCTCCCATCTTTGGGTTCTGTAATTCACTGCAATGTGTAACAGAACTCACAAACTGTTAAGGAAATGGCCCACACAGTTGAGGAGTCTGGCAAAGTCCAAATCTATGGGTCAGTCTGGAAGATTATCTTCACTCAGATGGTTGCAGCAGGGCTGATGAACCCCTGTCAGCAGGGCAGATGACTGTCTGCTGGCTCACATGGCTACAAAAGCTGGTGAATCAGATGATAGGCTGCTGGCCCATATTCTAAGAACTGGAGGTCAGAAGATAATAATTAATACAGATGCAGGATCTAGAGCAAGAGAGAGAATTTTACCAGAGCATTCATATATATTGGATGCAGATCTACCCTCAAGGAAACTAAGCGTGAAGATGTTAATCACACCTTCTTAGTAAGGCTACTACTCAAGATACATCCCACTCAGTACTACTTTATTAGCATAACGGATAGTTCACTCCAAAATGGGACCATAACCACAGGCATAGAGGCTAGGATTTACAATACATCACAAAGTGATGGACTGTGGCTAGAAGGTCCATATTAAGTAATTCATTGCACTGCACTGAGTCTGCTCAGATAGTTTCTTTTAGAAAGATCAGCACAAGGCGGTTTCCTATGAGGTGGAGGTTAAAGATATCCCAAATGTCCAACTTTTCCAAACCTATGTACCGCTCAATCATCTCTAAAACCAACTCCTCCTCCTCCCCTCAGTATTCTCCCTCTTGTCTTAGGGTTCTGTATTTCGCTGTAGCATCTCACTGAACTCATGCACTCTCAAGGAAATGGCTCATGCAATTGTGGAGGCTGGAATGTCCCAAATCCGTTGGTCAGATGTTGGTCTGGAGGATTTGACTCACTCAAGTGGTTGCAGGGGCTGATAAACCCAAATTAGCAGGTCAGATGACTGGTTGCTGTCTCAAGCCCTAAGGACCAGAGGTGAGATGATGATGTATCAGGTACTGGATCCAGAGCAACAGAGTGAACTTTGCCAGAGCATTCATATATATACTCTCAAGAAAACCAAAGGTGGTGACTTGAGTCACACCATTTAATAGGTCAGGACTCAAGAGACATCCATCCCTAATCCTGCCTCATTAACTTAATGGATAGCTCACTTCAAAATGAGATCATAACTCATAGAAACTAGAATTTACAATACATCACAAAATGAAGGACTATGACTAGAAGGGCCCATATTAAGTAATTAATTGCATGTAGAGTCTTTTTGATACTTTTTCTTTATTTTGGTGAGAAGGTTTTATCAGTTTTTTTTTCCTGTGGTAACTCTAAGAAGATATACCTTCATTTTCCTAAGTTTAAAACTGTCTGTTATTTCTTGGTACCACCTTTACTTCCTCTTTGTATCGAAGTTCTATCACTACACCATTTGTTTCCCATTTTGATTTTGAAATTGTCATCGATTACAGATTGACATCTCTATTTCCCTGTTTTCATTTTTGTAGCTTTATCTTACTTTTGAGAATTCTTTATCTGAGTTTGTGTTTAGGTGATGCTGTTGTATATTTTAATCTCAGGTTGTTCTGAATTCAAAAAATTTGTTTTAGTATCTCCTGTAAGATTGGTCTGATTTTTTTTTTTCTTCACCAATTCTTTTACTTTCTGGTTGTCTGGGGATATCCTAATTCCATTATCATATTTGAGAGACAATTTTGCTAAATTTATGCTTCTTGGTTGACAATTACTGTGTTTCGGGGTTTTATATATGTCATCTCATTGCCTGCTTGCCAGCATGAGTTCTGCCAAAAAGTTAGAGCTTAGTCTTATGGGTTCCCCATTGTAGGTGATATTTTGTTACTCTCAAGGTGCTCTCAGAAGTCTTTGTCTTTGGTTTCGGAAAGTTTGGTTATGATATGTCTTGGTCACTTTCTTTTGAGATCTCTCCTGTCTGGGGTTTTGTGAGCTGCTTCTATTGAAATCTTATCTTTCATAATATTAGGAAAGTTTCCTACTGGCAAATCTACAAAGATTCTCCCTGTGCTTTTATCTCCCCCTGTTCTTAAATTCCAGTCAGTGATAGATACTCTTGATAGTATCTCACATAACTCTTAGGCTTTCTTTTCTTCATTATTTTTTTTGACTTTTCCTCAGTCAAATTAATGTCAAGTGAATTGCCCTCCATTTTGCTGATTCTTTCTTCCATTGTTTAAATTCTGCTTCTATATTTTTCTGGGCAAAATACTTCTGTAGAGATAATGCCTTGGAAACCCACGGAGGGTTCACTATGAGTTGGAACTGACTCAACGGCAGTGAGTTTGGTTTTTGGTTTGATATCTTTCTGCTGAGCTATCTATTTTCGTTTTAGATTGTTAATCTTCTGAATTTCTAGTTGCTGGTTTTGTGTGGTTTCTAATTGTCTATTTATTTTGTAATTTTGTTCACATATCGTTTTATTTTTAATTCTTACAGAGTTTTGTCGATTTGTTTTCCTTAGTTTTGTCAGTGTTTTCCTTGATCTCTTTGAGGATCCTATATGTAAGCCTTTTGAATTCCTTATTAGATAGTTGCATCTCCATATCTTCCCTAAAAAGGTTTCTTTCTTTCCTACTTCCTTTTATCCTCAGTATTGGACATTCTTTACACCTTTGTATTAACACTGGAAGAAAAAAAAATTGGGAAACATGATTTTAAAAAAGTACTTGTATTCATTCTGAGCCTTGGAATAATACAAAGTGAATCATAATTAATAGTTACAGTTCTAACAAATTTAAAATATAAGTATTAAAAAATATAACCTTTAGATTAAACTTGATGGATTGAATGAGTGCATTTATCTTACCCCAACCAAGATTATAATAAATAAAAAGGAACATTGCATTAGAACAAAGGGTATAGGAAAAGAAAAAAAAAAAACAGCAGTTAATGGTGAAAAAACTTACTGCCATTCAGTCAATTCTGACTTATAGCGATCCTTTAGGACAGAGTAGAATTGTCCCATATGATTTCCAACACTGTGAATCTTTATGGAAGCAGACTGCTTTGTCTTTCTCCTGCTGAGTAGCTGGTAGTTTTGAACTGCTCACCTTTTGGGTAGCAGCGTAATGCTTGAACCCCATTGCCTCCAGACCTCCTAGAAGATGGTAATAGTTTTGGACATTGAAAAGTGACTGCCAGGAGGTAACTGACACAGAAAAGAAAAAGCTAGAAAAGAATTCTGCAGAGCCTTAGGAATTAATGTCACCAGGTTTATGAATACCAGAATGAGTGGTTGAACTTGGAAAAGATCATTTTTTGAAAGTCTTCCATTGGACCTCTGCTCTGTTCCTCAGTCCTGTCTAAAAAATTGATTATCCCGCCTCCATATTGGCAGGTTTACTCCTAGGAGATGTTGTATCTGAGAGGCTCCAGAGAATAGCACACCAGCCACAGATGAGGGGCTGTTCTGAAAAGGTTCCTCTCTAGAGAACCTTACTGGTTCAAGAGATCTGACCTGTAATGGTTCACATTTGTATATCCTCCAATAAAATATCCAGATTTCTATATAATCCTCCTATAGTGGGACTGACCTTTTGATGAGCCTTGTACAGAATTTCTGGTCAGTGTTTTTGGCTCACTTGCCAACTGGTTAAAATTACTTTCCTTCTGCTTGGTAAAAGCGTTTTTTTCAGAATATATGTGAAATATTTGAGAGTTCAAGTAATTTACTGTTTAACTGATTTTGTAGCTCATTCATAGATTGCTTCTTGGATTCCAGTGATGTTTGTTTTTAAAATCCTTTTCTTAAGTTTGGTGACTTTGGGGATACTTGATGTTTATTAATATCTGACTTATATAAGACATTATTTTAAATATTATTATTAAAATCATTGTATTACTATACATACCAATTGTCATTGAGTTGATTCTGACTCATGATGACCCCATGTGTGTCAGAGTAGAAGTGTGCTCCATAGAGTTTTCAGTGGCTGAATTTTTGGTAGTAGATTGCCAGACTTTTCTTATGAGGTGACTCTGGGTGGATTTGAGACATCAGCCTTTTGGTTAGCAGCCAAGCATGTTAACTTTCGCACCACTCAGAGGTGCCTATATATTACTGTTGCCAAAAATATTCATATTGTTCTCTGCAAAATAATTATATTCAAAGCTGACCTACGCAACTGTTGATGAACCAGATAATGAGATCTATAAGTTTTAGATAAAATATTATAGTTGTAGGCCTCATAGATGTTTTATTGTTCCTTTCCTTATTGAGAGTACCATTCTCTGAAATGCTTTACAATTATTATGAAATATTCCTAGTTCAAGATCGTAGTTGATCTTGTGATCAATACAATGAATGTGTACAGGATATTACTTTTCAAAATACTGTCCTTTAGACCATCTTGCTTTTAACTTTCACAGAAATGTTAAAACAAGTAATAGTAGTATCACACTGGGGGAAACAAAATGCACTGCCATCGAGTTGATTCCAATTCACAGTGACCCGTTGGGTTTCTGAGGAAGAAAATCTTTATGGAACTAGATTGTCCCATCTTCTTTCTGCAGAGTGGATGGTGAGTTTGAGTCACCAACCTTAGATTAGCAGTCAAATGCCTTAGGCACTGTGCTAACACTAAGGCCCGCTGAAATGAAATATTTTGCTCAGGACCACATAGTTGTGACTAAAATCTGTTTATTCTTATTTGTTTTTGTTTATCCAAAGTGGTATATTCTGGTGGTCAAATGCATAGTTCTTCAGCTGTTTAATCTCTCAACTGAACATATTTTCATAAAGTGATTTTTATATATACTTTTTCCTAGGGAAACTATGTTCAAGAAAGCAAAAACAAAAGCAAAAAAGAAGTCACGTAAGCGTTCTGATAGTTCTGGAGGTTATAACCTTTCAGACGTTATTCAGAGTCCACCATCCACAGGTTAGTAAAAAGTATTGTAGCGTATTTTTACAGTTCTAATCTTTTATGTGTCTTTATTAATTATCTAATTTATATGTATAAAATCCTATTAAATCCCATCCATTGAGTCTACTGAAACAGAAAATATACCTTTTTTTTATTTTTGGAGGCTACAAAAAATTTTAGTGTGCTTTAATAAGTACTCAGCAGTGTGGTGTGGGGCACAGAAATCAATCAAAGTAGTCTGAGATCTGTTGAAGGAAAGAGATACCTGAACTGGATCTTAGAGAATGAAGAGAAGTTAGTTTAGTAAAGGGACAGGTATAAATACTAAACAAGGGGATAATATGTACCTAAACTTAGAAGCAATAGAAAGAACTGCCCATTTTTTCTGCATATAGTTTATCGTGTCTCAACCATATAGGATGGTTGCAGATAAGAGATGGTTGGAGAGTGTCAGATGGGTGGCTTTTTATGGACTTTTAAAGCAGATTGTAACTGAATAAGAGTTACATTTTTTAGAAAGACCACTTTGTCCAGTAGCATAAAGGGTTTGAGGTGGGCAAAATAGGACAGAGACTCTTATTATCAAATATGGTTGACCCTTGACCAACATGGTTTTGAACTCCATGGGTCCACTTCTACTTGAATTTTCTTCAAGGTATGGATCTTGAAGAAATTAATGAACTGATGGACATCCACCCAACGCAGACCCACTGCATCGAGTCATTTCCAGTGCATGGAGACCCCCATAGGGCCAGGGCTGTAAATCTTTACTGAAGCGACTGCCTCATCTTTCTCCCGTGGAGCATCTGGGGGGTTCAAATTGGTGACTTTGGTTAGCCGGCCAGTGCCTTAACATAGTGCCACCAAAGCTTCTTTAATAGACACTACAACAGACGAACTGGCAGAAGACAAGTTAATGGTGATAAATGCTTCTGAACCAATGCCAGATGAAGAAGATGTAGTAAAAGCAGTACCAGAAAACAATTGTTATTAGGCAATCTGGCAGAAGGGTTTCTGTTATTCAAGGTTGCTTTTGACTTCTTTTATGACATGGACTTTTCTATGACATGAACACTAAAACTAAAGCAAACAGTGAAAGAAGGTTGGTACCATATAGAACATTTGTAGAGAAATGAAAAAAGAAAAAAGTCACATTATAATGTATTTCCATAAAGTTACATTGAGTATGCCTGCTTCTTCTGCCTCCCCTTCTACCTCCTCTACCTCTTCTGCCTCTGCCACCCCTGAGATAGCACAGCCTCTCTTCTTCCTACTCTAATCAGCCTCGTCAACATGAAGATCATGAGGATGAAGACCTTTATTATGATCCACTTCCACTTAATGAATAGTAAATAATCATCATGCTGTACAGTTTATAAACTTGTCTGTTGTGTATATGTGAGTGTCTTCATGTGAAAATCTAATAACTGTAAAAAAAAAACTGTGTTAATTGATTGTTTATGTTATTGTTAAGGCTTCTGGGCACTAGTAGGCTATTAGTAGGTAAGGTTTTGGGAAGTCAAAAATGAAACATAGATTTTTGAATGCACTGGGGATCAGTAGCCCTAACCCTTGTGTTGTTCAAAGATCAACTGTAGATTCAATTCAGTACTTAAGGTGAGAGACCAAGGGAGATGTCATTCATGTACTCAAGCAGCTTGTAATCTAGTAATATAAATTTTAGATGTAGGCATAATATGAGCCTGTTTGAAAGTAAAGGTTATATAGATTTTTCTAAAGTTTTTCCCAGTTTTTTAGTTTGTAAAATCTTTCACTTACTGAAAATTTGGAAGAATACCATGAATACCTATATATTCATTGTCCAGATTTATTGTTAATGTCTTACCACATTTGTTTTTCCTCCCAAGCTCTCTTGTTTGCTCCCCACTGTCACTGTGCAAATAAAAACTCACTACCGTCAAGTCGGATCTGACTCATAGTGACCCCTCCTTGGGTTTCCGAGGCAGTATCACTGCAGAAGTAGATTGCTCAACCTTCCTTCCAAGGAGTGGCTGGTGTTTGAACCGCCAGCCTTCTGGTTAGCAGTCAAAAATAATATGCATCTCCTAAGAAGGGTATTCTTCTATAAAATCACAATACCTTTGTCCTACCTAAGATAATTAATACTAATCCATTAATATTATAATATTAATATTATAATATTTATATTACAATATTAGTATTACAGGTCACATCCGGATTTCACTAATCATCCAAAAATATTTCTGTAGCTTTGTTTCAGTCTTTTAAAAAAATAAGTTCCAATCAAGATTCACGTTGCCTTTGGTTATTAATTAATACCTCTTCAGTCTCTTTTAAATAGGATAGCTCCACCATGCCCTTTTATAGTTTTGTCTTGTTTTCCAAAAGTTCAAAATATTTCTCTTATGAAATATCCCACTTTCTAGATTTGTCTGATTAAATTCAGGTTAAACTATCTAAACTTTTAACAGTTTTTTTTTAGATGAAACATGAGACGTGCATTTAAAATAATGACACTACAGTACTGCTGGACTTTGAAGCAGTAGCATAGTGGCTAAGACACTTGCCTGCTAACCAGACGGCTGGTGGTTCAAACCCACCAGCCACTCCTCGGAAGGAAGGTTGGGCAATCCTACTTCTGTAGTGATATTGCCTCAGAAACCCAAGGAGGGGTCACTATGAGTCGGGGCCGACTCGACGGCACATAATAATATAATAATTGTTAGCACATGTGTTGTTGTTGTTGTTAGGTGCCGTCATCTCGTTTCCAACTCACAGTCTATGAACAGCAGAACGAAACACTTCCTGGTCTTGTGCCAGCCTCACGATTCTTGCTAAACTTGAGCCCATCATTGCAGCCCACATGTGTTAGAGTACTAGATTTCCATAGCTGAATGGGACTGTGTCCTTTATTTTTTATATTGTGATTTGGGTGAAAGTTTACAGAGCAAACTGGTTTTCCATTCAACAGTTCACAGACATTTTGTTTTATGTCATTGATCAATTCTCACCATTTAACAGCATTCTTCTTACTTCCCCCGTGTTTACCATGTCTTTTCCTTCTCTTTTTTTATCCCTTCCTGCCTTCTGAGCTTTATCCCTGGGCAAATGCTGCCCTTTTGATCTCATATGGTTGATTGTTCTAATGAGTGCATACCGTTCTAGTATTATTATTCTCATTACAGGCCTGTCTATTGTTTGGCTGAAAGTTGAGCCATTGGGATATGAGTTCAGTTCCAGGCTTGAAGGGTGTCTAAGGGCCGTAGTCTTGGGAGTTCCATCTGTCTCTATCAGACCAGTAAGCCTAGTCTTTTTTATGATTTTGAGTTTTGTTCCACATTATTCTCCCACTCTATCCAGGAACTTCTATTGTTGATCCTGTTTAGAACTGTCAGTAGTAGTAGCTGGGCATGATCTAATTCTGGTCTCAGGGCCATAGAGCCAGGGGTTCTTGTGGCCCATTAGTCCTTTTGATTGTTGCCTTGCATCTTTGGTTTTCTTTACTCTTCTTTGCTTGAGACAGGAAGAGACCAGTAGTTAAACATTGTGAAAATTATAACCAACATCATGAAAAATTTGTATAAAAATTGTTAAATGGGAACCTATTTGCTCTGTAAATTGTTATCTGAAATACAATTAAATATTTTTTAAAAAAGCTTTTGACATAGAATATAATTTAAATGTTATTAAATTGGCATAAGTGGAAACTTTTAGTTCTGTTTGATTTATTAAGTATACATATGTTTAAATATATATTATTTTATTTTCACTTTTTAGGATTAGTAACATCAGGTAAAACCTATTCTGTGGAATCTCTCCCAGAACTATTAACTTCAGACTCTGAAGGAAGCTATGCAGGAGCGGGTAGTCCTAGAGATTTACAGTCTCCTGATTTCACAGCAGGATTTCATTCAGATAAGATTGAGGTTTGTTTTTAATGTACTGTTTCCTTAACTTAATTTTTTAGACATGAGACAGTTTTTCTTTCATTATTTTTGCTTTAACCTCTCTGTTAGTTGGTTTGTGTCGCTGTTGTGTGTGCCTTCAGGTTGATTCTGACTTAAAGCAACTCTATGAGACAGGTAGAACTGCCCCATAGTGTTTCCTAGGCTGTAATCTTTACAGGAGCAGATTGCCAGGTCTTTTCTTGTGTAGAGTGGTGCTGGGTTTGAACAGTCAATCTCTTCATTAGCAGCTGAGTGGTTAACCGTTGTGCCATCAGTGCTCCTTGGCTGGTTTATAAGAAGGTATAACTAGAGGCTAGTGTAAGTAGTACTAGTTTTCTCAAATTTGCACAGTGTTTTTAAGATTTTAATGACAGTTTTGAATCTTTTATGACTTTATAATCTTTCTATTATATATAACTAAAATGCAGTGTTTGATGTAAAATATAAAAACACTGTAGACATATTGAAAAAATATACTTTTAGCTAAATTACTTGAAATTTATAATATCTACTGAAAGTTGTAGAAGAAAAATTATTTGAAAATAAATCTAATTTAAAATTCTGCATAGTTTCTTTCCTATGGTGTTAACCAGAAAAACAGTCTGGAATAATTCAGTACTTATAATAATATATCCACAGTTGACATTAAACTTCAAAGTTCTTAGCCTGGTCAGTATAGAGAAGCCATAATTTTAGATACTTCATAGGATTTATGTCCTATAATTGTTAATCTACAAGGAATGAGGTTCTTTCTAATTTACTAGAGAAACCCCTATGCATCCGTAGAACATTTACAACTATAGAAATTTGTGAGGCAATGGGACTTTACTTTTCTTCTTAGAGTCATCTAGGGCTCAAGGATTGAATCTAACTATCTAACTTTATTTTATTTATGGAAAATAGATGCCTTGGGGCATTTTTTGTCATATTAATGCTCTGATTCAACTGGAAGACAACTGAGGTTTCAAGGAAGCTTGAAGGCATATCATAGATAATTTTATAATAATAACATCTATCCTGGCAGTAGAAATACCCTATTAATAACTTCCTTGACAGACAGTTAATAACTATAATTTTAGAGCCTCTTTTGAAGTATCAGCCTTATTTGAGAATTTAGGTGCTTTAATTATATTCAAAGTGAATAATACAGTATTTATACCCTTTTTTTGTTTTATGAGAGTCATGGACATTAATTTTACCTTAGTGCTTCATATCTTATTTGAACAGCTTTTATCAACACCTTTGTTTCGTACTCAGGTAGATAGGAATTTAATATGCAAATTTCTTCCCTATAAATTATTTATGTTCATAATAATCTGGTTATAGTCACTGATATGACTGCTATATGTTAGTTACTATGCTAGATGTATACTATTTGCATGCTATTGTTGACTTTTTTTAATGTTTTTATCTTTCCCCAGGGGAAAATTAAACCATGTGTTAATGGCACACCTCCTACATATTCTAGAGAAGATTTAAAACCCCTGGAAAAATCACCAGTACTTAAAACATCTGCTCCACAGCCCATTCCTGGTAACACAGTTGATGGTACAAGCTCTTCCATTTGGGTTGTTGGCTCTTTCAGGTGAAATTTTCATTTTTTTCTCTACCTATTAGTCTGACAAATACTATTCATTTTTAATCAAAAGAAAAATTTTAATGAAGTATATTTTAAAAATAGTAATATAAATTTTTAATTAAAAATTACATAAGTGCTTACAAAATGCTAACCAGTTAAAATAGGCTAAAATTTATTTTTTTCTAGGTAAAATTATATTGCTTTAATATTATCATCAGTGAAAAGTAGCAAATACATAATATGTATATATTGTGACTTGGTATGTTCCTGGAAAATGCCGGGCCGTGTTCTTGTGCGTTTAATCAGGCAATCCTTAGGAGGTACTATCGGTGTTTGTCAGACTCTAGGTAGCTGGTCCTCAAGTCCTGCCCAGGAGCCTTGCTTGGCACAGATGGCCCTATCTTAGATTAAAGGGTGCAGCAAGAACTTATAACTACTTAGAGAGAGAAAAAGTTAAATATAACATAAAGTTGAAGCCAGTTTTTATAGAAATGGCTTTCTTTCTTTTAATTGTGATTTGGGTGAAAATTTACAGAGAAAATTCACTTTCTATACAACAGTTCACATACTCTTTGTCTCATGACATTAACTACAGTTTACCCCAATGCAACAGCTTCCTTCCCACTTCCTCCCGATAGTTACCTCTTCCCTGTGTCCATCCCTCTATGCACTCCTGTCCCCTTAGCTGTCTCCCTGTGCATAAACAGCCCTTCTTTCTCCCATGATTGATTTTTCCAAGGAGTTTATCTACCTCAGGTAAATGTTCAACTCATATGCTTGTCTTTTGTTTGGCTGGAAGCAATAGGTGTGGGTTCAATTCCAGAACTGAAGGGAAGCTAGGGACCATAGTCTCAGGGGTTTCACCAGGCTCTATCAGACCTGCAAACCTGGTCCCTTTTTTTTTCTCCAAATGATTTTGAGTTTTGTTCCACATTGTTCTACCTCTCTATCCAGGATCTCCTATGTAGATCCCCCTTTGAGTGGTTGACAGTGGTAGCAGGGTACCATCTAGTTCTTCTGGTCTCATAGTCATATAGGCTGCAGATCGCATGGTGTACCAGTCACTAGGACTAATTGTTTCCATGAATCTTTGGTTTTCTTCATTCTTCTTTGCTCTGGATGAAGAGAGACCTATTGTTGCATCTAGGTGGCTGCTTGCAGGCTTTTAAGATCCCAGTCACTACTTGCCACAGTAGGAGGTGGAACAATGTTTTGTGTAGTATGTTATGCCAATTGAGCTGATGTCCCCTGCAACTATGGTCCTGAGCCCACTGGTTGAACTGCTTGGTCCCTCTGGGCAGCTGGCTGTGACCAAGAAGTGACTACAACTTTGTCAAGAAATGGCATCTTAACTAAAATATATAGAGTCTTATTCTAACCATATGGAGTCAGGTCTAATAAGGCAAAAATCATTATCCTCACAATAGCAGCTTTTTTTTTTTTTTTTTTTCCTTGGATAATAGATATTGGTTAAAATTCTCACTCAGGAAGACCATTCATGGGCTTACTTTACCTTTTTCAGCATATTAAGGGGTATTTTAAGATCTCACAAAGTTTATTATTACTCACTTTTCACAGAGTATTCATTACTATGCTATAAATTTGTCTGTATTTTGTACATACTTTTCTTTTATTCAGAAAAGTCAATTTTTAAAACCAAAGAAATAGATGTAATTTGAATACAGTGTTTGTTCTTTCATAGTGCTTATTGAGCCAGTGCTACATTTTTATATACCTACTATGGTTGGTGTGTTAGACTGGGTTCTCTAGAGAAGCAAAACTAGTAAAGCTTATATAAGCATATAGACAAAGAGAAATTTATCTTAGGAAAATTGCTCACACACTTATAGAAGCTGGCAGGTCCCAAGTTCTTGGATCAAACATCAAGCTGGAGGCTTTTCCCAACTCTTGCAGCTGCAGGGGCTGATGAGCTCAAGGTTGGCAGGTAGTATACCGGTCGTTGAATCCAACAAGTGACAAATCCAAGATCTCCAGGCTGAATGGTGGAGTGTTCGCTCACGGACAGTTGTAGGCAGCACAACAGGATCCCAATCCAGAGGAGTGTCTCTTTTCCCAGAATATTCATAAATATATTGGAAGCAGGCCATACTCCTAGGGAAACTCCCTTTCAACGGATTGCTACTCAAAACATATACATCCAATCCCATCATGGGAATAACCCACATCACAATTGCTTAAGCTGCACAGAATTGTGGTCCAGCACCAAGTTGACACACAGCACCAACTATCACAGTCCACCCCTTGTCAATTTGGCAGTTGTACACATCTTCTTAACCATATATAATCTCTAAAAAAGGACAATTATAAATTCATATTTGTGCCTAACATGATACGCTCACATGCGTATAACCAAAATGCATTAAACTTACATTTCACAGTTCATAACAGAAGGAAACAAAAATATTTGATACATATATACAATAAAGAAAGATAACAATCACTGTCCTCATTTCTGCAACTGGTCACGTGGTTGTAGCTGATATTCAGAACTACCTTCTTCTGCCACACATTCCGTATTTCCCTTGCCTTCAGCAAGCACCTCAGCTGGTCATGGTTCTTTGCCTGGTGGAGTGGCCCAAACTTCATTATTTAATGTCAATCCAATTTCCCCTTGGTAATCAGGATCTATCATACCAGATAGTACAGTAATGCCCTTCTTTGCCTGTTGATCCAGAGGCATAAGGAAGCCAAAATGGCTGGGTGGCTTTCTTAACTTCCAGCTCAATGTAATCAGTATTGTGTTGCCAGGTAGGAGTGCTCCTCCCTTTGGGACTAAGATCTCCAGACCTGCAGAACATAGAGTAGCAAGAACAGGAAGCAAAAATATCTTGAGTGGGTCACTAGGGGTAATAGTGAGTGGCACCACTCCTGTTTCCACCCCTTGGTTCCTGGACCCATGAATCCTGGCTATTGAAAAAACAGCGCCATATATTGGATGCTGGTTTAGAGCATATCCAGCCTCCTGGAGAGCATTGCCCCAACCCTTCAAGGTATTGCCACCTACCTGGCCCTGCAGTTGTGTTTTCAGTAAGCCATTCCATCGTTCTGTCAAGCCAGCTGCTTCTGTATGATGGGGAACATGGTAAGACCAGTGAATTCCATGAGCATCGGCCCACTGCCACACTTCATTTGCTGTGAAGTGAGTCCCTTGATCTAAAGCAATTCTGTGTGGGATACCATGACAGTGGATAAGGCATTCTGTAAGTCCATGGATGGTAGTTTTGGCAGAAGCATTGCGTGCAGGGAAGGCAAATCCATATCCAGAATAAGTATCTGTTCCAGTAAGAACAAAACACTGTCCTTCCCATGATGGAAGTGGTCCAGTATAATTAACCTGGTGCCAGGTTGCTGGCTGATCACCCCAAGGAATGGTTCCGTATTGTGGACTCAGTGTCAGTCTCTGCTGCTGACAGATTGAGCACTCATCAGTGGCAGTAGCCAAATCAGCCTTGGCAAGTGGAAGTCCATGTTGCTGACCCCATGTATAACCTCCACCCCTGCCACCATGGCCAATTTGTTCATGAGCCCATTGAACAATGACAGGAGTAGCTGGGGAAAAGGATGGCTGGTTTCCACTGAACGTGTCATCTTATCCACCTGATTGTTAAAAGTCCTCCTTTGCCAAGGTCACCTTTTGGTGGGCATTCACATGAGACACAAATATCTTTACTCCTTTGACCCATACAGAGACATCTGTCCACATACCTCTTCCCCATACATCCTTGTCACCAATTTTCCAATCATGTTCCTTCCAAGTCCCAGACCATCTGGCCAAGCCATTAGCTACAGCCCATGAATCCATATACAGTCACACATTTGGCCATTTCTTGTACCATGCAGAATGAACAGCCATATGCATGTCTTGAAGCTCTGCACATTGGGAGGATTTCCCTTCACCACTGTCCTTCAAGGAAATCCCAGAAAGGGACTGCAGTGCCATTGCTGACCACTTTTGAGTGGTGCCTGCATATCGTGCAGAACCATCTGTAAACCAGGCACAAGTTTTGTCTTCCTCAGTCAACTGATCATAAGGAACTCCCCGTGAGGCCATAGATGCGGACTGGGAGAGAGAAGGTAATGTGACTGGAATGGAGACCATAGGCATTTGGGCCACTTCCTCATGCAACTTCCTTGTGCCTTCAGGTCCTGCTTACGCCTGATATCTGATATACCACTTCCATTTAATGATGGAGTGCTGCTGTGCATGTCCAACTTTATGACTGTGGGTCAGGCCAGTTCATGATGGGCAGGCAGCTCACATCTCATGGTGACTTAGTGGCCCATGGTTAGACATTCAGTCTCTACTAAAGGCCAGTAACAAGCCAAAAGCTATTTCTCAAAAGGAAAGTAGTTATCTGCAGAGGATGGTAGGGCTTTTCTCCAAAATCCCAAGGGTCTGCATTGCAATTCACCAATAGGGACCTGCCAAAGACTCCAAACAGTATCTCTGTCTGCTACAGACACTTCAAGCAGGATTCTATCAGCTGGATCATATGGCCCAAGTGACAGAGCAGCCTGCATGGCAGTCTGAACTTGTTGTAGGGCTTGTGTTATTCTGGGCCCCACTCAAAACTAGTAGCTTTCCAAATCACTTGATAAATAGGCCGCAGCAACACACCCAGATGAGGGACATGTTGCCTCCAAAATCCAAAGAGGCCCACCAGACGTTGTGCCTTCTTTTTAGTTGTGGGGGAAGCCAGAAACAATAACTTATCCTTCACATCAGTAGGAATATCTCGACATGCCCCACACCATTGGACCCCTAGAAATTTCACTGAGGTGGAAGGTACCTGAATTTTTCTTGGGTTATTTTCCCACCCTCTAGCATACAGATATCTCACCAGTAAGTCTAGAGTCATTGATACTTCTTCCTTAATAGGTCCAATCAGCATAATGTCATCAATATAATGGACCAGTGTAATGTCTTGTGGAAGGGAAAGGCGATCAAGATCCCTACAGATAAATTATGACATAATGCTGGGGAGTTGATATACCCCTAAGGAAGCACCGTGCAAGTATATTATTAGCCTTGCCAGCTGAAGGCAAACTGCTTCTGATGGTCCTTTGAAATTGATATTGAGACAAAGGCATTGGCCAGATCAATAGCTGTGTACCAAGTCCCAGGAGGTGTACTAATTTGCTCAAGCAATGAAACCACATCAGGAACAGCAGCTGCAATTGGAGTCACCACCTGATTAAGTTTACGATAATCTACTGTCATTCTCCAAGATCCATCTGGTTTTTGCACAGGCTAAATAGGTGAATTAAATGAGGATATGGTGGGAATGACCATCCCTGCATCCTTCAAGTCCTTGATGGTGGCAGCAATCTCTCCAATCCCTCCAGGGATGTAGTATTGCTTTTGGTTTACTATTTTTGTAGGTAGAGGTGGTTCTAATGGCTTCCACTTGGCTTTTCCTCCCATAATAGCCCTTACTCCACATGTCAGGGACCCAATGTGGGAATTCTGCCAATTGCTCAGTATATCTATTCCAATTATGCATTCTGGAACTAGGGGAATCACTACAGGATGGGTTCAGGGACCCACTTGACCTACTGTGAAATGTACCTTAGCTAAGACTCCATCAATAACTTGACCTCCATATGCCCCTACTCTGACTGGTGGGCCACAATGACGCTTTGGGTCTCCTGGAATTAGCGTCAGTTCAGAGCCAGCGTCCAGTAATCCCTGAAAAGTCTGAGAATTTCCCTTTCCTCAATGAACAGTCATTCTTATAAAAGGCCTCAGATCCCTTTGGGGATGGATGGGAGAAAGATTGACATTATAAATTGTTAGCAATATAGTGGGGTCCTTCCTCAAGGGGACCCAGCCTCCCCTTCACTCAAGGGGTTCTGGGTCTGTAAACTGACTCCAGTCTGGGATTGATTGTGAGGCTGTGACTCTGTATTCTGGTGATTCAATCTAGGCTGCTGTTCACATGACATAGAATTCTTCTGTCTATACAAATCAAGTAAATATTTAGTAGGTTTGCCATGTATTTCACTACTAGGAACACCATGACTAAGTAGCCAAAGCCGTAATTCCATATGAGTCAGAGTATTCTGATTACTCTTTGGACTCTGCTGTCCATTATGGTAAGCATGGCCACATTGCCTTTGTCAATTAACTGTTGCCACTTGGCCCCTACTACCACAGACTCCAATCAGCCCCATCGTAGTTACGTGTCTTAGTTCAATTATGGCAGTTCCCACTGTCAAATCTGGCTTACATAAAATAGGAATCACAGCAGTCTTCAAGGATGCTGGGGCTCCCTTCACAAGTTTATTCCTCACCATACTTGTGAAAGGCGTGTTCTCTGGACTCTCCATTTCTGGCTCTATGAGTCTAATCTGATAAATCCATTCTAACAGGCCAGTTTCTCTAAGCTTCTGGATACCTTCTTCTACATTATACCAAGACAGATCTGGTACTTCAACTTGACTTAAAATAGGTGACTACATAATCGTTGCTTCAGTAAGCCAACCAAATAAACAATTAGATCCTTACCTAACCTATGGAGCTGAAACACTGAATGAAGAATCTGTATTTAGTGGGCCTAAATCAGTAAACTCAGACTAGTCCAATGTTACATTCCTTGCACCATTATCCACACCCTCAATAACCATTCCCATTCATATTCTCCAGGGTTCTGTCTGTACATGTTAGTAAAATCAAGTAGATCTTTTCGGGTGTAGTGTACCACCTCCTCAGTCACACCTTTGTATTTCACCTTTTGGGGCTCACTTGGACTTAATTTTAGTTACAGGTCTAGCAGCAACAATGGTTGGTTGGGGAAGTTCCTGAGAACATTAAGCAATGTCTTCCATGGCCTTTGCCTCAGTCAGTGACCCAGCAGGAACAGTTGGGTTAATCCCATCAAACTGATGTGGAAAGGATAATGGTTTTACAGTAATCCCTTCAGATGGGAGGGATTCAACAGAATTTAAAGGTACCTGGTAGCATAGTGCCTAAGGCACTTGACTGCTAACCAGAAGGCTGGCAGTTCAAATCCACCAGCCACTCCTCAGAAGGAAGATGGGCAATCTACTTCCGTAGTGATACTGCCTCAGAAACCCAAGGGGTTGCTATGAGTTGGGTCTGACTCGATGGCACATAACAACAACAACAACATATCCTGATCTTCCTATCTGCCCATATGTCCCCATTCCAGGTTTCAGGATCCCATTTTTTCCCACTCAATGCCCTCACTTTAACTTCAGACACCATTCTGGGTTAACAATTCAATTGACATTGTAATGCAGCCACCCTTACAATAAGACTCTGGTTTTGGTTTTCAGCAACATCAGCTCTGTTACTAGAAGAAGGCTTTTTTTCAGAGCACAACTGGAAACATTGAGGTCTTTTATGTTGCGTTTATGCTGTGACTCATCTTGCTCTGTACCACTTTGCCTACCATAAGTAGGACCAACCAACCAGCTTCCTTATATTCCTCATGATGACAAAATTGCAGAAAGTATCAAATATGCAATCACTCAGAGCCTCACTTCTCAAAAGTACTTGATCTGTTGGTGGTGCTATTTTGCATGTTAATGTTGACACCTCACACCATGGATTAGCAGGGCCCTCTTTATTAATGGAGGCAGGATCACCAGTGCCTTTATGATGAATCAAATTGGAGAACCAAAACAGAATTGGTGAGAACCAATTTAGGAAACCCTTCTTTAGAATTTTGTCTTGGAAGGAAGGTTGGGCAATCCTACTTCCGTAGTGATACTGCCTCGGAAACCCAAGGAGGGGTCGCTATGAGTCGGGGCCGACTCGATGGCAAAACAACAACAACAACAACAAGATCCACTCTTGGTACCAAATGTGTTAGGCTGGATTCTCTAGAGAAACAAAACTAGTAGAGCTTATATATACATATAAAGAAAGAGAAATTTATCTTAGGAAGATAGCTCACACACTTATAGAAGCTGGGAAGGCCCAAGTTCTTGGATCAGACATCAAGCTGGAGGCTTTTCCTGATTCACACAGCTTCAGGGGCTGACAAGCTCAAGGTTGGCAGGCAGTATACCAGCTGTTGACTCCAGCTAATGACGAATCCAAGATCTCCAGGCTGAATGGTGGAGTGTTCACTAATGGACAGTTGTAGGCAGCACAACAGGATCCCGCACAACAGGATTCCGATCCACGAAAGAGTGTCTCTTTTTCCAGGATGTGCATAAATATATCGGAAGCAGGCCACACCCCTAGAGAAACTCCCTTTCAACAGATTGGCTGCTCAAAACATATACATCCAATCCCATCATGGGAATAATACACATCACAGTTGCTTAAAGTGCACAGATTGTGGTCCAGCAAAGTTGACACACAGCTCCAAATATCACAGTTGGTAATAGGCTAAAACTGCTAAATGCTTATCAGATATACTATAATCTGGACCATAATTTTTTACTCTTACAGTGAAATGAGAAATGCAGTATTCAAGGGACATGCTAGTAATTTCTCTCCCTTTAACCTTGTATTTAATAAGTACTAATATATTTCCACCAATATGTTTTAACGAGAGTTTGGTAGAAAGTCAGCAATTTAGGCTGAGTCTATACTGTTTTAGTCTAGTACCCCTTGAGAGATGTTAAACATAATCATTATTTTTATATTCAGTTTGAAGCATTGCTTAGCTGGAATAATTAATTGAACTTATTTTGATGAAAGACTATAAAAGAAACCAAAAAACTAAAACCCAAACTTATTGCCATCAAGTTGATTCCGACTCATAGAGACCCCCTCAGGTTTCCGAGGCAGTAAATCTTTACCAAAGTAGATTGCCCAGTCTTCCTTCTGCAGAGTGGATGGTGGGTTTGAACCACCAACCTTCTGGTTAGCAGTCAAATGCCTTAGGTACTATGCCACCAGCACTCCTTATAAAAGAAACTGCCATCTTTTAATATGTAATATATGTCTAGTTTTTAGCTACACCAGAGATTTCATTTAGATGAGAAATTTTCTGTTCTTGAAGATTGTAGAATTCTTTCTTTCATTGTGATACAACCCTTTTGGTAAACTTCTAATTGTTCAGCCTCCTTAAGTTTTCTATTAAAAGTATATTTTTATTATTATTAAATAGTAATAAGAATTTTATATGTTAAATAATAGAAAGGAAAGAACATAATTTTTAAGCTCCAGGCATCCTAAAGGAGCTCTGGTAGCATAGTGCCTAAGGCATTTGACTGCTAACTAGAAGGACGGTGGTTCAAACCCACCAGCCACTCTTCGGAAGGGGGTTGGGCAGTCTACTTCCATAGTCATACCACCTTGGAAACTCAAGGTGTCACTATTAGTCGGATCCGACTCAGTGGTAGTGAGTGCTTTTTTTTAGTTATTCATCCTAAAAGGTTAAGAATTTACTTTGATTTTTGGTGGGTTCTTCTGCCTAAGAACCTTTCCATTGCTTGACTTTTTTTTTTTTTTTTAATATAGAAGTTTCAGTTATATTACTTAACATTATGACGTTGGAGGTATTTTAGTTATTGTTTAGGTATGTACATGTAAAAGGAGCTTTCATTCAAAATATCCTTTTTGAGGTTGGCCATAGCTGATGAAATAGGCTTAAATGATATTCTTATTATCAATTTTATATATAATATACAATTTTAGTGAAGTTTGGGGGCTGGACTTTATGGGTAAATGAATACTTTATAAGCTAATTTTCATGTGTCTTTTAGTCCTGTCAGCCCTCCTGTCATGGATCTCAGAACCATCATGGAAATGGAAGAAAGTAGACAGAAATGTGGAGCTACACCAAAGACAAATTTGGGGTTGGTTGAAAAAATCATAAAAGAAAGACCATATTGAGTTCTGTTTCCACCCTAGAGAATTAGAAAGACTACTTGACTTGTTCTAGTATTTTTCTGTATTTGATATTATAGTTAAATATAAACCCTTTTCTAAGTAATTTAATCTTCATACCATTATTTCTTAAATTTGTGCTGAGGATTGAGTTGATAGTCTAGCTTGTATTGAATATGGTATTACTTCTGTAAATATAGAAATTTACCTCTAATGTGGTTAATGTGGCTATTTTGTAAGAAAAGCCAAAGATCGAAGGCTTGACGTGCAAGACTGTTTTCCACTAGAACAATCTGGTAGTGTATTAGTAGGAGGGTTCATGTGTAGTTATTGCTTCATCACTGATGGTATAAACTGATATTATCGCTTGAAATATGACCATTTTGATGCAGTAATAGCAAAGTACACAAAAGAAATAGAAAGCAATATGATTATCAGTAACCTCCATTAAGCAAAAATTAACCATAATTGATTTAATTTAATTTCTAACAAAAAGATCACTCAGGAATTAAACTTTCTCAGAAGAATGAAACTAATGGATTTAATTTAATTTCTAGCAAAGTGATTTCTCATGGAATCAAACTTTCTCAGAAGCAAAGAAAAATGATTGCAATGACTACCAAAGAAAACAATTCAGGAATGAATAGCTTGGAAACAGTTTTAAAGGCTCCTTCAAAAGCCCCCAAACCAGTGAATGCATGGTATGTTCTTATTGTTATTAAAATAAGCATTGATCTGTTTTTTAACTTTTAAGATGGTTCTTGGCTTCTGTTTTTTCCCCTGTGTTTTTAAAATCTTTTCAAATAATATTTCATGTCTCTTTTTGCTTTTATGTTACAATCTGGAACTTGAGAAATTGTTTGTTTGTTTGTTTGTTTTTGCTTTTAATATCGGATGCCTTGACATGTACAAAGAGTCCTGGTGGCACAGTGATTAAAGAGCTCGACTGCTAACCAAAAGGTCGGCAGTACAGATCTACCAGTTTCTCTGTAGAAGAAAGATGTGGCGGTCTTGCTTCTGAAAAGATTACAGCCTTGGAAACCCTGTGAGGCAGTTGTACTCTGTCCTGTCGGGTTGCTATGAGTTGAAATTGACTTGACAGTAACATGCTTTTTTTTGACATGTACATTATGGTTTTAAAAAACTTTTTGTATTTCGTATGGGCTTAATTTTTTGTGTGTGGTATTTTAATTGGCTTCTATTGCTGGAGTGATTTAAAGGAACCAGTCATATATTTTCATTTATAAGCAATAAAGTATACCACACCATCATGAATATCCTCACGCGGTTATAATCATAACTAAATTGGCATTTATCTAAGCAGTGCTGTTTATTTACTGTTGTATTATATAGTTTTTCTCCATTAGAGTTCACTTATAGTAGTAGAATTAATAGGAATAATTTCCAAGGAGGTTAGATAACAGTATCAAGATAGGCAAAATATGTTGTGCTCCCTTCCCCCATTCCATGCTCCCTTTTCTTTGTAACTTATACTCTCTGTCTATAAATGGATTCTAGAGGAGAAATACATGGATAGTGTGTGGGCAAGGAAGAAATCGGTAGAAATGTGTTTTTTCTCACAAGGATTGGAGAGGATCTTGGAGACTGTCTACCTATTTGTCTATTATTTATCTGCCTACCTGCTTTTCTAACCTAACCTAAACTAATCTGATTGTCTACTCAATAGGTGGAAAAATTCTTCCATTTGTCTAAAACCTAATTATTCTTTTAGGAATTTTTTTTCCAGTGTAAATGTAAATTATTTTATTAAAAAACTCATTTTATTCTGAGTGCTCCCAGTGAGACTAAGGCAAAGCCTATTAGAGCTACTGGTAGGTCTATAACATGGTCAGAGAAGAAGAAAAACAAGAGATAGAAAATTTGAAGAAGAGAAAAGAGAATAAAATTTGAGAAAATAGTTTTAGCAGAATTTTTTAATTTAGTGATATTTTAGAGCACTGCCAATGGGACAGGGAGACCGCATCTTCTGACCTCCTCTACCCCCAGAAGAGGAAAACAGAATCACCATCAGTAGCCCAAGGCCTAGTCCTGCAAGGCCAGACATGCTGCTTCTCTCCAGCCCTTTCACCAAACGTTCCTCCTGCAGCACCCTCCAATTCTCTGCTGGGTTCAATAATTTGCTGCAGTGGCCACATAGATTGTGGGATTTGTTAGGGAAGTACCAGACTACAATTCAAGTTCAGAAATTCACTCAGTGTCTTGCAGCTGGCCATCTCACTCAGCATCTGGCAGTCTTAGTAGCACATTGCTCTGTCAGTAGTGTGTGTCTCTTGTGTCTCTCTCTCTCAGTAGCACGTCTTTCTAAGCCACCAGTCAGAGAGACTCCTTCTGCCTGTAGGAGGGCTCCTTTTGAGCCTGACAGAGTGTCCAAAACCAACCAATCCCAACATCAGAATAGTGCCTAAGGCACTTGACTGCTAACCAGAAGGCTGGCGGTTCAAATCCACTAGCCACTCCTTGGAAAAAAGGTTGGGCAATCCTACTTCTGTAGTGATACTGCCTTGGAAATCCAAGGAGGGGTTGCTATGAGTCAGGGCCGACTCAATGGCACATAACAACAACAACAACGAGGGGGAGAGAGAGAGAGAAAGAACTCCACAGAAGATTGCTTCCTGCCACTCTCAACAGAAATACTCCACATGGATAATTTTAACAATCAGGAGCTACTCAGTTGCTCATGGCAAATTCCATCACGGACTTTACAAAGACTTAAGGCTAGAAAATTTATTACACCTCAGGCCATCCCCTGGCTTTTCTAGCCATTATCTCTCTGATACTTCAAAAACTAACATCCCCTTCACCATCAGTTTAAGAATAACCACACCCATGAAAGCTTGTAAGCCAGGCACTTCATCCCTTTACCTCCCCAATTTTAGTTAGCCAATTTCTAATTTGCCCATCCCTGTCAAACCAGTACTCTGAGAAGACAATCATGTTCTTTTCTCACTGAAGAACCTTCTGTTCTGCTTGGAAACTTTGGCATCTACATCCATAAAAAAGCAAAGTCCAGCCTCGCACAAGCCATCAAATTGCATCAACTTAACACCAGCTTAGTGTCAAACATCTTCCTCTTCATTTGGTCGGGTTCTGGTCAGCTAGTCCTAGCCATCCCAGCTAGGTCATGGATACCAGCTGCCAAGTTTGAGAGTCGCACTTTTCCCTGCACTTCAGACCAGCCAGCACCTTCTCTCACATCCTCAGTCCTCAGGGACTATTTCAGTGCCTGTAGGCTCACAACTCCTTGCATTTTAGACCAGTCAGCCCTTCCTCTCATCCCTAGCCTCCATGGCCTAGGTCAACAAGTACCAAACTCAGTCTGTTTCTTCATCGCTGCTCTTACCCCATTTCCACTCAAGTGAACCCAGGTGGTCACAAGTGAGTAGCATACAAGTGTATGACTCGCTGGCTTCCTTTAACTTTCAATCCTGGAAGGGGTTTCTCTCATGGACCATGACTTTTCTGCCTTTATGCACTCAAAACCTGTTTGCTTGCTCAAAATTCAAAAAAGCCAAGCAGTCTTTTTTTTTTTTTTTTTTTTTCCTGGTAGGTCCTGTCTTCAATTACAGATCTTCTGTTCCTTCAGTAGTTCTGGTTGGGGCTCAGGTTTTCTACCGAAGGCCCCTATAATGTACACACAGGGTTTGAAACAGAAACCTGTGTTTCTTCTGGACAAATTCTGTTTCCCCTTTTAACATATCCAATTAAGTATCAACTGAAGGAGGACTTACATGCTGTCTGTTATCCACACCCCATAATCATTTCTAATGTACAAGCAGGTAAGAGAACATTCAATACCCATAGTACGTTCAGATAAACACATAATCCAAAACACATAATCCTTTGTAAGACATTCCAAGTTCATCTCTTCACCTTGATTACCTTCCTATTCTTTTTTTTAATGCATTTTACTGAAATATAATTTATGTACAGTGAAATACAGAAAACTAAAGTGACAGGGGTCAATGCATTTTTTGCAGTGTTCCCTCCCATCCTCCGCTTCCCACCAACAAAGAAAGTTTCCCTCCATATATAAACCTTTCCTTGACCTTCCACAACAATCCACTAATACTATATTTGCCCTTCTGTGATTGACTTATTCGCTTAGCACATTGTCCTCCAGGTTCATCCATATATGTGGTGTTTTGCAGACTCTAAATTATTCTTTAGTGGTGCATAGCATTCCATTATGTGTATGTACCATAGTTTGGTCATCCACTCTTCCACTGTAAATCTTAGAGATAAGTCCCTTGCCAGATACGTAATTATCGGCAAATATGAGTTTGTTGCTGTCATTTTTGTTATGTGCTTTTTCATGGTGTTGATTTCTTTGTTCCATATAATTTTCTATGCTGAGCTCATTTTGTTTATGAATCGTGTTATCACTTCCTTCATTGCTATTGTTTTAGTATTTGCTGAATATTTACGATGATCCTCTTTTTTGATGTGAAGATTTATCATTTTTATTTGAGGTTATCCTGTGATTTATAGTTTTCTTCACAAGTTTAGAACAGTCTGTTCTAGTAGTTGTTTTGACTTCCCTACCATCTAGAAGTTCTGTAACAACAACAGTTTTTTCCCTCCTTTTGGTTTGTAGTTGTCCTCATTTGTCAGTTGATGTCTCTGGTTCCCTGTTTACATTCTTGTAGGCTTAGTTACTTTGGATACTTCCATAGCTGGGTTGGTTTTTGGGTTATATCATCATATGTGTTAATGATTAGTTGTTGTTGGCTGTTGTTGCTTCTCTGTCCAAAAGGGCTCCCTTTAGCATCTCTTGTAAGGTTGGTCTGGTTTTAACAAATTCCCTTAATTTCTGCTTATCTGGAAATGTCCTAACCATCATATTTGAGGGACAGTTTTGCTGGGCACATAATTGTTGGTTGGAAATTTTTCTTTCAGTGTTTTATATATACCATCCCATTGTCTTCTAACCTGCATGGTTTCTGCCAAAAAAAACAAGCTTAGTCTTATCGGTTGCCCCTTGTAGGTAACTTTTCGGTTTTCCCATGTTGCTCTCATGATTCTTTCTTTGTCTTTGGTTTTGGTGAGTTTGATGATGATATATCTGGGTGATATTCTTTTGGGGTCTATCCTGTTTAAGGTTCTTTGGACTTCCTGAATGGATATATTCTCATCTCTCATCATACCAGGAAAATTCTCTTCCAACAAACCTTTGACAATTTTCTCCGTGGTTTTACTTGTCTCTTCTTGATCTGGAATTCCAATTACACATAGGTTATTCCTTTTGATGCTATTCCACATGAACCTTAGGCTTTCTTCATTTTGTTTCGATCTTTTTTCTGATTTATCCCTTTCCAAAGAAGTGTTCAGGTATTTGTTGTCAATCTCCCTAATTCTGTCTTCCATTGATTCAGTTCTGCTCCTTTGTCCATTGAATGTCTTATCTATTTTGGAAAATTTAGTATTAATCTTCTGGATTTCTCTGTGTAGATTTTGTATCATTTCTAATTTTTCATTTATTTTATCATTTTGTTCTTGTATTGTCTTTTGAAATTGTTCTAGGGTTTTCTCTGTGTTTTCCTTGATCTGCCTCTTAATTCATTGAAGATAACTAAATATAATTCTTTTGAATTCCTTATCAGAGAGTTCTAATGCTGCATTTTCCTCAGGGATGTGTTTTGGGTCTGTATCCTGGTCCCTTGTTTCTCCTGCTTTATCTTGC